CGATGCCGGGTAATATAATTCCAAATACCATCAAGCCCATAAAATGGAGAGTAAGTGATAAATAATTTATATTTATCAGAATGACTGAATCTTATTACAAGTTCAGCAATATGATATCCTCCCTCACAGCACAGACCTGGATGGAGAAAGGGATCAGAATTTCAATGGTTTGCCAGGGTCGGATTGAATGCCTGTTTAAAGACCTATCAACCTGACGTGAACCTGGTGGGCTTTCCTCAGCAGTCCTTAGAAAAAATGGTGTTTGTCTTATAACAAGGGGGTCAGCATATGACAAAGGAAATCGAATACAACTGGACGATCAGCATATGAAAAAAAATCTAATACAATAGGATAATTTGGTAAATGTGATAAAATACGGCAATAAGTAGTAAGGTTAAAATGCCATCCATGTTTCTATTATTTTCTCCATTCCAAACCTACCAGGATAAAGCAGAGCAATCCATTGGTTTCTTTATTCCTAATTCGTTTCTTCATTCACTCATCCATTTATTTGTTCTCTGTCTTAAACACCTAGAGTGTGTAAAATACCATCTTAGGAACTGTGGAAGACGCAACAATGAATAGGTATGATTCCCACCTTCTAGTTGCTTCCATCCAAATGCAGCGTTCTGGACTAAACCTTGGGAAGCAGAATTTCAACTTTTTATTTATTTATTTGTCAAGATAGAGTCTCACTCTATTGCCCAGGCTTGAGTGTGGTGGTGCCTTCTCAGTTCCCTGTGACCTCTGCCTCCGGGACTCAGGTGATCCTCCTACCTCAGCCTCCTAAGTAGCTGGGACTGCAGGCCACCACACCCAGCTATTTTTTTTTTTTTTTATCTTTTTGGAGAGATGGGATTTTGCCATATTGTCCAACGTGCTCTCCAACTCCTGGGCTCAAGCGATCCTCCCACCTCAGCCCCTCAAAGTTCTGTGTTTAGGGGAGAACGCTAATTTAAGAAAGAAAAAGCGAGCATTGATCACATGTCTACACTTCTAAATTATCTCTTTATCCTCCTTTTATTCTTTTTTTTTTTTTTTTTTTTTTTTTTTTTTTTTTAAGACAAGACCTTGATCTGTTACCTCAGCTTCCCAAGTAGCTGGGACTACAAGTGTGCGCCACCATGCCCAGCTAATTTTTGTATTTTCAGTAGAGATGAGTTTCACCATGTTGGCCAGGCTGGTCTAGAACTCCTGATCTCAGGTGATCTGCCCACCTTGGCCTGCCAAAGTGCTGGGATTACAGGCATGAGCCACCAAGCCTGGCTATTCTTTATGCTTTCTTATTTTGATAGTGTCTGCCTGAATCAGAGCTGGTCCCACTTGAAAAGGTTTTTCCTGGAGACAGATTCCTTGTTTGAAATGCAAAAGTTCAAATACACTTTCATGTCTTAAATAGTATAATCAGAGCAAAGTCATTGCTCAAATGAGCGATTAAACTTTGTTTCATGTGATTTTTTGGTTTTTTCCTTTATGGCAAAAACAGAAAAAAACAATGGTCAGTGGCAGAACTCTGAAAACTCCAAATCAAATTGCCTTTATTTTTTCTTTTCTTTTTTTAGAGATGGCATCTTGCTCTGTCACCAGGCAGGAGTGCTGGAGTGCAGTGGCGTTATCTTGGCTCACTGCAACCTCTGCCTCCCAGGTTCATGCAATTCTCCTGCCTCAGCCTCCTGAGTAGTTGGGAATACAGGCACACACCACCACAACCAGCTAATTTTTTTTATTTTATTTTTAGTTCAGATAGGGTTACACTATGTTGGCCAGACTGGTCTCGAACTCCTGACCTCATGATCTGCCCACGTCAGCCTGCCAAAGTGTAGGGATTACAAGCTTGAGCCACCGCGCCCAGCCTAGATTGCCTTCTTTGGTGGGAAAAATCTCACATATGGGCACAGTGTAAGGTATATAGTTACCTTTGGCAAAGAGCTGATAATGTGGCTCAATTAAAAACAGGAACCCCTTTTTGCTATTTTTTTTTTGAGACCAAGTTTTGCTCTTTTTGCCCAGGCTGGAGTGTAGTGGCACCATCTGAGCTCACTGCAACCTCCCCCTCTGTGTTTAAGTGATTCTCCTGCCTCAGCCTCTCGAGTAGCTGGGATTACAGGCACGTGCCACCATGCCCAGTTAATTTTCTATTTTTAGTAGAAACAGGGTTTCTCCATGTTGGTCAGGTGGGTCTCGAACTTGTGACCTCAGGTGATCCACCCACCTCAGCCTCCCGAAGTGCAGGGATTAGAGTCATGAGCCACCATTCCTGGACCCTTTTTGCCTTTTATATTGAAGGAACAGCAATCCACTTGGAAGAAGAATAGCAGCAGTTCAGCCCTGTAAGCACTCCTGGTATGTGGCTGTATTTTCTTTTAAGGTAGGCACCCTTTTTAGGTCTGAAAGAGTTTATTAAATGAATCAACATTAAAGTGATGAACACACTTTTTGCAACATTTTACGTCCCTTCCGCAAGCTCCATTTGAAGGATGATCAAGGTGGGAGAACTGGGGCACAGCTGAGGGCAATCGCCTCTAGCTGCAAAATTGCGGTGAAAGGGGACAGAGGCGCGGTTATGGCCCCCTTTCTTCCAGCTGTGACATCAGGGGCTTTCGAGCATAAGAAGGAAGTACTGCTTTCCCACTCACAATGACTTAGAAGTTTATCCCCTTCTCCAGATTTTATCTCTGTAGCCCTGCTTGGACAAAACCAGCATGTTAAATTAGCAAAGGAATTAGCAAATTTCTCAAAATTACCCAAAGACACCAGCCTATTATGTGCCTCGGAATCTGTTCTTGAATTGTTCACTCTGCCTGGAAAGTTCTTTGCCACCCAAGTCTTTTCTCCTCTAGAACACAACCTTATCTTTCAAAACCAGCTCAATAACCATCTCCTCAAGAATGTCATTGTTATTATTATTATTATTATTATCATTTAAGGCAGAGTGTCAATCTGTTGCCTGGGCTTAAGTGCAGTATCTGGATCACGGCTCACTGCAGCCTCAACTTTCTGGGCCCAAACAATCCTCCCACCTCAGCCTCCTGAGTAGCTGAGACTACAGGCATTGCACCACCACATCTAGCTTTTTTTTTTTTTTTTTTAATTTATTTGTAGAGAAGGGATCTCACTGTGTTTTCCAGGCTGGTCTCCAACTCCTGGACTCAAGCAATCCTCCTGCCTTTGCCCCTCAAAGTACTTGGATTCCAGGGATTAGCCACTGTACCTGGTCTCCCATCATGATCCTTTCCACCCCCAGTTCTGCTCAGCAGAATTACCTCTACCCCACCTCCCACCCCATCTCCATTCCTACTGCTGCTATAACAAATCACCATAAACCCAGTGACTTCAGACAACACACACCTAACAATTCTAGAGGTCAGAAGTCCTAAAATCACAATGGGATTTTAGGATTGTGTTCCTTCTAAAAGTTTTTGAAGGAAAAAGCAAAGAAAATGTGTTTCTTTGCTTTTTCCACTTTTAGAGGTTGCCTGTATTTCTTGGACTGTGATCCCTTCCTCAAACCATTCTGATCTCTGTTCCCAAGTCACATCTCCCTCTCTACAGTGACTCTCCTGCCTCCCTTCTTCACTTACTAGAAACTTTCTGATGACATTGGACCCACCCAGATAATCTGAGACAATCTCCCCATCTTGGGATCCATAGTTCATCTCAAAGTCCCTTTTGCCATGTAAAGTCACATATTCCCAGTTTCTGAGGATTAGAACATGGACATCTCTGGGGAATCATTATTCTGTCTACCTGCTGTGAGCCCATCTTTCCATTTACAAATGTCCATGTCAGCTGCCTAACACTAAGGGACAGTTTGTTTATGGAAGTCACCCTTAAAGGCTATTATTGGCAGAGCATCGTGGCTCACACCTGTAATCCTAGCACTTTGGGAAGCCGAGGTGGGTGGATCACTTGAGGTCAGGAGTTTGAAACCAGCCTAGCCAACACAGTGAAACTTCATCTCTATTAAAAATACAAAAATTAGCCAGGTATGGTGACATGCACCTGTAATCCCAGCTACTTGGGAGGTTAAAGTAGGAGAATTGCTTAAACCTGGGAGGCGGAGGTTACAGGGAGCCAAGATCATGTCAATGCACTCCAGTCTGGGAAACAGAGCTGAACTCTGGCTCAAAACAAACAAGCAAAAACACTATTGTCTCCCAGAGGGAGGTATCTTGGGTCTTCAACTTGTTTCTCCAGTGCCTAGAATGTTGCTTCAGACTTAGCAGATGTTCAATAAATTAAACTGAACGTTTGCAGAAAAGAAATTAAGAAAAAAAGAGAGCAAGGACAATTTAGCTGTAAGGCTATTATTTGACAAGCAAATAAAATCAGTAGCCTTCTCCATCTATGTAGACGCCCAAGTAAATGGCTAGGGAAAAAATTACAATGGAATTCATCATTTTGGCATAATGTTTCATAGATAATCACAAAACAATAAAATCCAACCTGTGTAGATCAGGTGTCAGCAAACTGCAGCCCGTGCTGCTTGCTTTTATAAAGAAAGTTTTATTGAAGGCCAGGCATGGTGGCACATGCTTGTAATCCCAGCACTTTGGGAGGCAGAGGTGGGTGAATCACCTGAGGTCAGGAGTTTTGAGAGCAGCCTGACCCACATGGTGAAACCCTGTCTCTACTAATAATACAAAAATTAGTGGTGCATGCCTGTAATCCCAGTTACTTGGGAGGCTGAGGCAGAGGAATTGCTTGAACTCGGGAGGTGGAGGTTGCAGTGAGCCAATATTGTGCCATTGCAGTCCAGCCTGAGTGACAGGAGTAAAACTCCATCTCAAAAAAAAGAAGTTTTACTGACATGTGGTGAGGCCCATTTGTTAGCATACTGGCTGTGGCTGCTTTTACACTATAATGGCGGAGTTGAGTAGTTTCAATGGAGACTCTAGGCCCTGCGAGCCTGAAATATTTCCTGTCTGGCACTTTACATATGATGTCGGTTGACTACTGGTCTAGATAATTAGAAAGTTTAAATGAGAATTTGTTTTTCAGGTTAGATGGGTAACATGCCAATGTCATAACAAGGTTCAGAGGGTGGCATATCTCACATGCATGTAAACCCCCAATGGGCATGCTCATGTACTAAAAAGGGATTGTTAAATCAGAATTTTGGACCTATGCAGTGACTCATGCCTGTAATCCCAGCACTTTGGGAGGCCGAGGTGGGTGGATCACTTGAGATCAGGAGTTTGAGACCAGCCTGGCCAACTTGACAAAGTTCTGTCTCTATGAAAAATATGAAAGTTAGCCAGGAATGGTCATGCATGCCTGTAATCCTAGCTAGTCAGGAGGCCGAGGAAGGAGAATCACTTGAACCCAGAAGGCGGAGATTGCAAGGAGCAGAGATTGTACCACTGGACTCCAGTTTGGGTGACAGAGCAAGACCCTGTCTCAAAAAAAAAAAAAAAAAAAATCAGAACTTGGTTCAAAGCAGGTTAGATTAACCATTCTGAAAGCTGAATTCATGAGATAACATGCCTGGTGTGACAAAAAAAAAAAAAACAGAAAGCTGAATTAATATATTTCACTATTATGGATATTGATTGTCCATCTCTTTGGGATGGGCTGCCTCTTACCCAGTAGATTAGTGGGTGGATATTTTAATTCACAATCACAAAATTATGGAGCTGCTCAGTTTGTTTATTTCGAATATCTTGATAGCTGGGATAAAAGGGTGATATATCCAATTTCTTAGTCAAAGGTCACACTTGAAGATCCGTAACTCCTTCACTGAGAACATGGACCAAATTGTCATGTCAATACTTAACAGAGGCAACTTTCCTTTCAGCATTCTAGGTGGATCATTTCTCCTTACTACTCCTTACTACTTACCTCTTCCAAATGTATTCACAGACACTACAAAGAAAAAGTCACTCTGTTCTCCTTGATAGAAAATTAACTTGTTTGGCCAGATGCAGTGGCCATGGTTGTAATCTCAGCCCTTTGGAAGGCCAAGACAGGAGGATCGCTGAGCCCAGGAGGTCAAGGCCAATCTGGGCAACATAGTGAGAACCCATCTCTACAAAAGATACAAAAATCAGCCAGGCATGGTGGCGCGTGATTGCAGTCCCAGCTACTCAGGAGGCTGAGGTGGGAGGAGCACTTGAGTCCAGGAGGTCAAGATTATGGTGAGCCATGATTCCACTGCACTCTAGCCTACATGACAGAGCAAGATCCCATATCCAAAAACAAAGTTGGGGGAGAGAAATTAATGTGTTTCTAAGAGTAAATTTACTTAGTGAGGATGAGAAGAAAAATCATTAAACAGGAACTTTTTTTCCCGAAAAAAACACTATCTTCAAAGCAAAATGGCTTTGTAGTTGTTTTGTGGTCTTTGCATGAAGTTAGAACTTTTAGTATGTGTGAACTAGGGGAAATATTTATTGATCAAGTCATTTCTGCCACATCACTTTAAACAGCACCTTCTTAATTAAAAAAAATATATAAGATTGAACACCGGAAACCGTGATTAAAAACAGGCATGGTGGCTCACACCTGCAGTCCCAGAACTTTGGGAAGCTGAGGTGGGCGGATCACCTGAGATCGGGAGTATGAGACCAGCCTGACCAACATGGAGAAAACCTGCTTCTAATAAAAATACCAAAAAAAAAAAATTAGCTGGGCGTGGTGGTACGTGCCTGTAATCCCACCTACTTGGGAGGATGAGGCAGGAGAATCGCTTGAACTCAGCAGGCGGAGGTTGCAGTGAGCCAAGATCTCACCATTGCAGGCCCAGCTGGGCAATAAGAGCAAAACTCCCACAAAAACAAACAAACAAACAAACAAACACTAACATTTAACCTAGTTTGTAATTTTCAGAAATTGAAATTAAGAGTCTTGTACTATAATTTCACTTTTGCCACTTACTTTGTGAACTAAAGCAAGTCACACAGATTTCCATGGCCTCAATTTTGCCGTATGTAAAACGATGATAACGCTGTGTTCCCCACCTAATTCATAGAACTGCTGTTTTGATAAAATGAGGTAATGTTCGTGAATTTGTGAAAGCACTACACAAGTGAAAGATTATTATTGTCTGATTACGGTCTTAATGTCTTCCTAAATTGTCTATGGTATTAACAATGCTATGGCCATAAACATCTGAAATAATGTTCCATAGTTGACTGTGAAATTCTGCTTGTGAATTTCATAGTTCAGATTTTATTTTGATGTAATCAATGAGCATAATTAACTTTTATTGTGTGCCTTATTTGTGAGAATGTTTTAAGGCCTTAAGTATAGTCATATATCTCAGCATTACACAAGGATTACCAAACTGAAAACTGCTGTCTTTAAAAATGGTGTGATTTCATTTGGAGATTTGAGTTTGCTTTTATGGCTGAGATTAATAAAATGTTGCTGTTTAAAATGAAACTGTTTTCCTTCTAGCACTTCATATTTTTGCTTGGTTAAAGAAACAGCAGCAGCATGATTAGATGTCAGTAATTAAATATCTCTGCAGAACAGTATCTTAATAGGATATATTTAGAACACTGCCATATCAAAAACATTCAATTACATAGATACAGCTTTAATATTTAACAGCTTGTTTCTTAACTACCAAACCTTCTGGTGAGCTAATGTTGACTATGTACAAAGGAAAGCAAGCCGTTTAGTGTCAAATTAAGAGAAGTGGAATATATTATAATGGTACATTTTATGTCTTGCTCGTCTCATATTCAGCCAAGTATAATGTTTTTATTTAATACGTTTAACTATCAATTCATCTCTCTTATTTTTAGCAATAGGAGCCTCCAATTTTCTTTAAACAAAATGAAGGTTTATCCAGGGACCAGAGAAGAAAAAAAAAAAAAAAAACTTCACTCAAGCACCATGAGAAAACAAACACGTGTGAGAGGTAATAGACATGAAGCCAGGCCCAGTAAAATTCTCTAAAGCTAAACTGTCAAAACCACTGGTAAGTGATCTTAGGAAGTGGAAAAGAAAGTGATCTCAAACTTCTCTTAGAGGTAGAAATGTGTTTCTCTGTTACATCATGTTAACAATGAGTTTGAAAATAAACAGAATTATCCCTAACATATCATGCACTTCATTGTTCTTGCTGTTATTTTGAGATAGTCTCACTCTGTTGCCCAGGCTGGAGTGCAGTGACACCATCCTACATAACTCACTGCAGCCTTGATCTCCTGGGCTCAAGCCCTCCTACTTCCATCTCCTGAGAAGCTGGGACTATGGGCATACACCACCACTCCCAGCTAATTGTTTTACTTTTTTTAGACATGGGGTCTCACTTTGTTGCCCAGGCTGGTTTCAAACTCCTGGGCTCAACTGATCCTCCCATCTCAGCTTCCCAGAGTGCTGGGATTATAGTCATGAGTCTGGCCTGCACTTTGTTTTGTTTTGTTTTGTTTTTAAAGAATTTACCGTTCTCCCAAAATTTTGATTTTGATTCCATTTTCACAATTCTTTTCTATACTTGTGGGCATCAGACTGAGGAGGTTAGGATTCAGTTCTTTTTACTAGGAACATAAAGAACTGTTCACACACTATAGTTGAAAAGGTGATCATTGGTGATCCACAGGGTAAGCAGGTGGCTCATACTAACTCTACGTCTCCACAGCCAAAATGACAAAGATTGTTCAGAGAACAAATGTGCATCAAACACTGATTCATTTCTCTGGTGGTGGAAGAATTCACAATAGACATAACTGAGTCTGAAGTTAAAATGATGCAGGAAAGCTGAGCTCCAAAACAGGGGCTTAGCCTGGGAGGGTTCTTAGCTTCACTCAGGAAAGAATTCAAAGCGAACCAGTGCTCTTAGCAACTTTAATTGGGGCAGCAGTGCACAGGGGCAGCAGAGACACTGCTCCCTGCAGAGGAGGGCTACCCCATAGGCAGCATGCCCAGAGTAGCCGCTCAGAGGCAGTTCTTCAATCCTATTTATACCTACTTTTTAGTTACATGCAAATTAGGGAGCGATTAGGCAGAAATTTCCAGAAAAGGGGTGGTAACATCTGGGTCATTATGTCAGTGCCATGGAAAGGGACAATAGTAACTTCTGGGTGCTGCTAGGGCAGTGGTGAACTGACATGGCACACTAGTGGGTGTGCCTTATGGAAACCTGCTTCTGCTCCGTCACTTAGTCTCGCTCTGTCACCCAGGCTGGAGTACAGTGATGTGATCTCAGCTTCCTGCAGCCTCCACCCTCCACCTCCTGGTTTCAAGCAATTCTTGCGCCTCAGCCTCCCAAGAAGCTGGGATTACAGGCACACACCACCATGACTGGCTAATGTTTTTGTATTTTTAGTAGAGATGGGGTTTCACCACGTTGGCCAGGCTGGTCCCAAACTCCTGGCATCAAGTAATCTGCTTACCTGGGCCTCCCAAAGTGCTGGGATTACAGGCGTGAGCCACCATGCCAAGCCTGTCCCTGTTTTAACTAGTCCTCAATTTGACCCAGTGTCAGAACCCTGTCTTCAGAGTCAAGTCCGGCCTCCTGAGGCAAATTCTGCCTCCTACCTCAAAACTCTAAGGGTTCAAGGTCTAGAGCCACCATTTGTCCACCGGGTGACTCTGGGCAAGGTGCTGAGTATCCAAATCACAGCCTCTCACCTGTGAAATGAGAGCTAATGCTGATACCTATATTCTGGAAATGTCGGAATGTTTAAGCCTAGAATTTAATTAGTGCCCAATATGCATGAGAAGAATAAAGATGAAACATTGCTAGAGAGAGATCAAACAGGGAGATTGCATATGGAGAAAGAGTGCCTGTCAGATAAGAGCAAATCCTTTTGCAGGAAGGTGGGTAGAAGGGAAATGCAGAAAGAGATAAACTTTACCATGAACTTCACCATAGTTACATAGAAGAGCAAAATGTGGCAATCCCAGCAGGCTGTGATTCCTGCAGCTCAGTGCTAGTTTAGGGGATTACCAAAAAATAAGAAGTTTTCCACTTAACTGCAACGTGCCTCAACTTGACCTTTGATCCTTAAAATATGGGTTCACACGGCATCTGGACTTTTGAACTTAATTACGATGACAATATTCAGCAATGCAGACCTGGAACAGACTCTACATGTGAACAATTGTGTTCAAGCCTCAGTAATCTGGTTGTTAATAAATGCTTGGTAAAC